TTTCAGAAATATCTGGGAGTTGGGTTAATGTTCAAAAGTTAAATGCTTTTGTATTTTAATAGATATTGTCAAAGCACAAAGCTATAAAACTACTACAACTACTACTAACACACACACACACACACACACACACAACTGGAGTACTCCAAGAAGAAGAATAATTCCAAATTCCAGGATGAGCAGTAAAAACAAATATATGCAATAGGGGGGAGGACCTTGGACTTTCCACAGGGCAGGGAACCCTGACTGCTCTTTGGATTGGAGAAGGAGGGGGAGAGGAGTGGGAGGAGGGGGAGAAGAGTGGGGGAGGGGAAGAAGAGTGAGAGGAGGGGGAGAGGAGTGGGGGGAGGGGGAGAAAAAAAAGAAAAAAAAAAGTCAATTTGAGGAATTTCAGAAATGGCTCAGTAGTTGAGTGAAATTATTGCTCTTCCAGAGGACCCAGGTTCTACCCTAAGCACCACGTGGCAGCTCACAGCCATCTTACCTCTTGCTCCAGGGGCTCTAACACTTTCCTTTGGTCTCAAGCATGTGTGTGATGTACAGATACATAAGCTTTCAAAATACAAATATGCATAAAATGTAAAAATATTCTAAAATCAATTTGAAGTTCAGAGAAGCTTGGGGATCCTTTCAGAACTTATTTTTTGATTAAAACAAGTTAAACCGTATTAACTTTTTTTAAATTTATTTATTTATTTATTAAAGATTTCTGTCTCTTCCCCACCGCTGCCTCCCATTTCCCTCAAAGTTCTCACAAGCTATTGAAACCCACTTTGAAACAACTATTATCTTGTATTTCTGAGAGTCAGGACTTTCTTCGTGCCTGCCTGTTTATGACTCTAGTTGATGGCATAAACCTGGGAAAGCTGGACTTAACCATGAGGCAGATTAAAGTCTCATGAAATAGCCAACTTTATCCAGAGCATCAGACAATTTATACTCTGAGGCTATAATCACATAAGTAATGTATTCAAGAAGAAGCCACATCTGGCAAAAACATGTCTTTTCATAGAGGTATAATAATACTAACAGTTGAAGTTTACTCACTCCTATCCACTACACCTGGGAAGGGTATGAAAATATGTTTCAAGAACAGTTCTGTGTTTTAAAGAAACTGAGATCACAAGACTCTAGTTGTTTTATAGTTTTTTCACAAGTGCTCAGAATTCTCGTACAACTCCATTCCTGGACTGTGTTCCAACACCTTTCTATTCCACTCCATCCCTCTTCCAATAGTTTTAATCTGATACCTATGGTTTAATATTTATACTTATTATAGACTTCATAATTAATTATAATTCATAACCTAGACTATAAAGGTTTTGGAAAAGACTAGTTTCAGTTAATACATATTATTTATCCTCTTATAAGTGCATTAATACAGGCTGGGCATGGTGCCACATATCTGTAATGTCCATCCTTTGGGAGGCAGAAGTACGTGGATCACTACAACTTTGGGGCCAAAATGTTTACAAATCAAACTCGAGTCCTATCAGCCCTACACAGTATGACCCTGCCTCACAGATAATTCCAGAATTTTACTCAAATTACTAATGAATCATTGACATGGATAAGAAAAAAAGTATGCGATTGTTGCTAATTAGTCAATGTCTCAATGTTTCATGGGTAATAAATATATCTACTCTAATCAGCATTTAATTAGTATATTTATATTAATCCGATATAACCAAAACTAACAGCATCTTTATCTTATCAACCAGTAAGATGCATACATCAAGGAAACTTTTACAACTTATGAACAAAAGGCTTTTTAATCTATATAAATCTGTAATGTCTTTGTCTTATGTTAGAAACCTTCCATTCCCTTATATGTTGAATAAATATTTATTTAATAGCCTTAGATACTGATTTTCCTTTGAGTGTAGGGGATAAATTATTAGATATTTTCTCTCCAAATATATGCAGTGTTTTCCACATAGTAGTTATTCAATGAATATTTGCTGAAAAAATAAATCCTTTCACATGTACACAAATGTCTTACTGAACAAGTGGCTATCTCATGAACTAAACCAAGGGAAAAAAGAAGAAAAAATAGTTGAAGGAAGCACAGAGGGATGTGTTATCCATTTGGTATCTTAAACGTTAGGTACTTTCTAAGTTACAAAGTAGAGAGAACTACGGAGATTCAAATATGTAAGCTTACTGTTTAAGGAAAGGGTTGATTGGCCAAATAAATTTTTGGAGGCCATGAGCATGCAAAAGATTGTTTTTAATTATAAAATTAAAAACAAAGTAATATAAATTCAAAGAATCAATAAAGGATCTAAAAATGTGATTAAAGAAATATATGTATAAAAACATACATATTATATATTTGTATATTACATGTATAAAATATGCTGCTTGAGAGAAAGATTCGATAACATACTACAAAATAAATCTCAAGTATTATAACATTTTTTAAAAATTATCACATGACTTTTATGACATTTGTGAGTCATCCTAAAAATTTTGTGAAAGGGGAGAAAGCGAAAACAAATATTTTATTTACATATACACACATGTATATGTAAATGTGTACACATATGTGTGTATACAAATACACAATAGAATTTTACTGAGCAATAAAGAAGAAAGAAACTACATTGTTTGCATAAAATGAATGCAACTGGATAATATCACAACAAGGGATTTAAGTCAGATTCAGAAGGACAAACATTACACTTTTTTTTTCCTTTGGGGACTATAAATTCCCTGTTGAGATATAAAATCATGTATGCATATTATACAAAAAAGTAATGTGAAACTCTCTAGGGAAATTAAGGAGACCAATAGAACTTGAAAAGGAAATAAAGGAAAGCATAGAAAACCTTGGGGCAATGAGGTCAAAGAACAATACACACTTACATGAAAATATCCCTATGAAATACAATACCATGTGCAATAGATGTAATCTAATTTAAAACATCAGCAAAGAAGTGATATAGTATCAAAGTCAAGCCTCTAAATATATACCCTTATTACCACAAATCCTTAGACCCTTCACCTCTCACCAGAGAAGTTTCTTAATGCGGTGGACGGTGGCTAATACAGAGACTCAGAATTTGTCAGACTGAGAAGGATAAGTGACTGTGCTTGATTCTAACTGGGACATGCCCTCCCAGCACTCGGGAAACACTGGAGAAGAAGCAGGAGAAGGGCTGTAAGAGCCAGCAGCTGGAGAGGCATGCTGGTATGCCATGTCTTCTGGACTTAACAGAACTAGCCCACTCAAGAACTCACTCTACCTGTGGATACCTTCAGAAGGCCTTCATGAGATTAATTCAGTCCATACCACAACATGTAAGAGTAGGTTCACCAGGCCCCACTCCTAGCTCAGGAGCAATTCACAGATGATGGCTACTGAGAGAGGAAAATTCAGAGTTTTTTCTGCGATAGCCCATGGTAGGTTGCTCATGCTTCAGAAGATAAAGTTACACCCATACACACATGTATGACACTAACAAGACTCAAGAAAACAGGAGGAGGAAGAAGAAGAGGCCATAATAATGAATTTGGGAACAAGATATAGTAGGAGTCCAAGAAGAGTTGGAGAAGAAATTGATTAGGGTATGGTTATGATCTTAATACATAGTATTCATGTCAGAAAATACCAAGGAATATTAATTTTAAAAATCTTCCCCTTTAAAAATGAACAAAAAAATATAGGCATGTAACAAAATTAGAATGTCAAATGCTCAGACTTGGCGGGGGAAAGCACACTCTCCCCCCAAATCAGGAAATTGACAGCTAGATCCACACTTACAGGTCTTTACACTGAAAAGAGACTCCATGAAGTAATAGCATCAAGTGTTGGCCACCACTTAGACACAAGAACCTGTATTAAGCACTTGAAGTTTGTTCAAGAAGCTCAACAGCTTTAGAGACCTTGTTGCAGTACCCTGTTCCCCACAAGTTCCCATAGAAGACTGCTTATCAGTTGGAAGATCACTGCTTCAGACCAGCTAGCCTTGTCTTAATTCTAAGGAAACAGCCACCTTGGTTCTTCCCTCAGTAGTATTAGCAATGAAATTGTCAGTAAGATCAATCAAGCATTTAACAAGTTCTCCTTACACCATTTGTAATCTTTACAGAAGTCTATATGCACACCTTTTTCTGCTTTTTTTAAAGTGTGTTTAATATTTAATATGTGCCCTTCTGATTCATGACTTCAAAGAAACCATGGTTCTAAAATAATTCCCTAAAATTATGCTGTTCATTGTATCTTAAAAAACTACTGAACAGTTACCAAGAAAATAGTTTTGACAAGTCATATCTTCCTTGGTTGCTTCGTTGGGTTGGTATGGGTTCAACTGCATTCGGACACTGTCTTTCTCTCTAGTCCAGGCACGGTGGCCTCACACTTCTGATCCTCAGGTATGAGAGTGTTAATATTATCCCAGTTACCATCATGAACTACCATCTAAAATTCTAAAACAACAACCCTTCCCAAAATAAACACACACCATGGATTGTATTAGTAAAACCTTGCATAAGGGTTGTCTGTGGCTTCTATTAAAGTTTTATCACCATCCTGTTTTTACTGACAGAAGAACTACTGATTTATAATAAACATCTCTATAAATTTTAATTTTTCTATTAACAAATTTTCTCATCTGTAAAACAGATGACTTTCACTAAAAATATCCTTTCATCTTATAATATTTTAGGACTTATGGTACAGAGCTATTTTTTCCCCTCAGAAATCTCCAAAATGAGGCTGTTTCTTAAGTAGAGGTTAAAGAGATTTAGCAGCATGAGCCGGGTCTTGATTCAGATGTGCCCATTTGCAATGGTTCTTAGCCAGCTTCAGACAGCTGTAGATATGTAACTCAACAAATCTCACAGGATCATCCCAAACAGCTAGGGGAACTACTTCCTTGGTAAAGAATAGGCCTTGATCTGAGCATTCACTATGCCTTGTATGCATGCTAACAATCTCAGTTAGGTATGAAGGATCAAGCACACCCATATAGGACACATTGACTTAGTTCCCCTACCTGTGGACACAGGGTTTCCAGGTGATTTGCGGCGATCCTGACGATTTTAATCCCATCTTCATTTGTTGACATGGAACAAGCAAGGTTTGCCACCTTTAATAGAATTCAAGACATTGCCAATTAGTTGGGGCCACTGAGGAAACACAGAAATGTTTGCTATTGTGGATGAAGAAGGGCATGCATGCATTTACCGAAAGTGCGGTGTCAAGCAACACTTTTATAAATATCAGATATCTCCTTCATAAAATCATTCAGAGAAACCATTAAACTAAATAACCAAAGGGAGCCTGAGGGAATCAACATAAAGAGGAAATGCTGGTGAATGAATCAGTAGCCTCCCAGAGTCTCTTGTTATCAACATCTAACCCATAATAAGACATTCTTTGGGGATGGGTAAGGTTTACCCGTGGATCGCATGCTAATAGGTTCTTGGAAGCTCCTTTGATTGTGGTTTATTTTAAGACTGTAATTGTTTTATTATTTCCCAGAGGTCTATTATGCACACTGAAGCTGCATTAAGCATGGCTGTATCTTATTCATGTTTTATTCAACATCAAATATGCTGGGATCCCAAGCTGGACTAACACTAGATAATTAAATATTATTTCCTGTTCTTGCTTTTCTACTGTAACTTAATGAACGTTATCTGACATTCTGGCAGCCAATTTAATTCAAGTATTAGTGACACCCAAATCTATTTTAACCAATGCTTTTGAAGCTTACGCTTCCTCCCACTGAAATGAGCGTTCTTTTAAACAGTTACCATAATTGCCATTCCCAAAGCCTGGTATTTACAGGTTTCTTATCTCACGTCTTAGATTTGAGAAAGGGTATGGAATTAGTTTTCCTTCCTATGAACACCAGTTTATCTAAAATTCGTCTTGCTAGCACCATGGGAGTTTCTAAAGAAAAGCACTTTTTTTTTAATTTTTCTAAAACTTCAGTGGGGTTGGGGGGTGTGTGCACATGCATGCAGGGCAGCAAGAACCATGCGTATGCGAGGAAGTCAGAGGACAACTTAATGGGAGTTGGCTTTTCTCCTTCCACTGTGTGGATGTGGGGGCAGGACGCAGATCTTCAGTTTTCACGATAGATGCCTTTATGCTGAGCCATCTCCCAGTGTGACCGAGTGTTTTTGTTTTTGAACTACTAAAATTATTTCACTGTCTCTATCTATCTATCTATCTATCTATCTATCTATCTATCTTTCATTCATATATATATATATATATATGTTTATATATATGTGCCTCATGTGCTAAAACACAAAATGAATTCAGATTCAGGAGATTCAGGGGTGGTAGGACTAGCAAATAACTAGCAAGTATTTTTGGGCCGCTATTTTAAGACGATGAACTGAAATTTCAGTGGAGATATGTCTTGCTTTTTCTGGCATCACGTTTAATACATGAATGGGAAAACAACTACTGGTTTGCTCTTCCATATGACAGAAGAGCAAACATCTATTATTTAGCTATGGAGAAGCATTGTTCGATTTATTAACGTACATGAAAATGGCTTACTTGGAGAGGCCTTTTGTTGGCTTGAAGGTCACAATACCTCAGCCTTCATATCTGACACATAATTAGTACGCTCGTGAATTATTTGAAAAGGGCAATGGTTTCTGTGCCCCTAATATCTCCCAAACCTCATTCCCTGATAGTAAAACTTTTACAAACTTGAAAGCTGATTAAAGTTAAAAATATGTACTATTTGCAGAATTTTCTAGTTAAATTAGAAGGATGCTAACTAACTGAAGCTTCAGTTCACAGAAAATTGATCCTATACAGACAATCCCTTCCTTCCTATTTTTTCCTGGTGTTGAGGACCATGGGCAGGGTCCTGTGATTGCTAGGAAAATTTCCTACCATTTAGCCCATCCTCCTACATCTCGCTTCTTCTTGCTTTTATTTTACCAAATAAAACTTGAAAACACAGTATGTCAAACTCTACAGTCCCCAGAAGTGCATGGCTATCACAGATGCCGACTCTGTGGGCATCCCCAGTATCTTCATTCTGAGTCTGGTCTTTCGGCCACCTTATCTTGTACACAGCACCCTCGTTCTTACCAGCATCTGCTTTTTCTTTTTTTGCCTATGGCATCTCCTCTCCCTTATTTACAGGGGCCTTTTAAAGTACGGACTCGGCTAGGCAGAGGCGAGTGGATCTCTTTGAGTTTGAGGCCAACTTGGTCTACAGAGTGAGTTCCAGGACAAGCTCCAAAGCTACAGAGAAATCCTGTCTCAAATAAATAAATAAATAAATAAATAAATAAATAAATAAATAAAAGTGCAGACTCTGTCTTTGGGGCAGCAGGTCTAGCAGACAGACTTGCAGATCTCTGTGAGACCTCCACCATGGACCTCTCCCCTTGAGCCCCTTTAAGCCTTCCATTAGCACATGGATTTGTTGGTGTGGGCCACAGGCACACAATATATGGATGCCGCTGCACATGACTTTCTTGTCTCTTCTTCTCTATATCGTTTGTTTTCTTTAAATAAATATGTATCCTCTTTCCATTCTTATCCATTTTGAAAGTAGATTGTACCAGGCTTTTCCTTTGGGGACACCAATAAGCTCCCAAATCATGACACACAAACATATTATTAGTTTTGAAAGCTCGGCCTAGCTCAAGCACATTTCTGGCTACCTCTTTTAACTTAAATTAACCTGTTTCTCTTTATCTACCTTTTGCCTCGGGGCTTATTATCTTTCTAACTTCTGTATATCTTACTTTGACCTCTTCTCTATGTCTCCTAGCTGGCGGTGGCTGCCTGTCTTCTTGCCCTAGGCATCTTCTTCTTCTCCTTGAACCTAGAGTTCTCCTCCTATTTATTCTCTCTGACTGGAAGCCCCTCGTATCCAATCTCTCCCTAGTCATTCAGTGCTTTGTTAGATCAATCAGGTTCCTTTGGCAGGCAAGGACAAGCAAACACAACACATCCTTTCATAATTAAGCACACATGCCTATATATTGAGAAAATGAAGCATAAACAAAAGTAACACACCTTTACACAATTAAAATAATATTCTGTAGTAGAAATAAATGTAACACATCTTTGCCTAATTAAAACAATATTCTACACAATAGATATCCCTGTCTTGAAATTTGCTGGCCGTTAGCTATTATACAAACATGGATGCAGAACAAGGATCATTATCCAAAAACACTTTATATTTATATTAGTAGAGTTAACTTTTACAAGACTATACAATGAACATACAAAACAACTGGAAGTTGGATTTATGCCTCGTAAGATGATGGTCGTAAGATCATTTTATCCTCATTTGTTCACAGAAGATAGATGGATGAATAGATAGATAGATAGATAGATAGATAGATAGATAGATAGATAGATAGATAGATAGGCAGGCAGGCAGGCAGGCAGGCAGGCAGATATATGGGAGTTATATATAAACATTTCATCACAACTGTCCTGTGTCAACTCAACTTTGAAAAAATCAACACTGTTTCTATTCTAGAGCTATTAGGTTTGGCATAAGCTTGTCAAACATGGTTAATTCGTGGCAATATTCTGAGACAAAGAAGAAAGGTTGATTGGTAAAACTAAAATCTTTTTACAATTTGAATTTGAATGACTCCGAAAATGTTTTCCAAAAATCACATCAGTGTGTGAATGAAAGCCAAATTTCTTCCAATAATAATTAGATCTGTGTGCCTATTCAGGAAAACCAGTGCAGTGTAGATGTGACTCCCTGCTTGTCAGAGAAAACAGCATGCACATAAAATATCTTGTAAAAGTAACCTGAGGTATTTTGACATCTGACATCCCTGTTTATCTAATTTGACCATGTTTCACAAATCACAGGAAAGCTTCATTATGTAGCACATTCCAATAGAAGTTTTCTCTTTGCTAAGGAAAACTGGGGACTACAGAGACTTCTTCTGATTTTTGGAAAGATATTAAGTTCCCTGACTCTGTTTTGTTACCTATATAAACATGATAGTATCTAACCCACTAGGGTGCCGGGGAAATTAAGTGAGACACTGTATGGAGAAGGTCTAATATCCAATTCTATTATAATATCTAGTATCTCTAAGCATATATGAATTCCCATCATTTTGTCTCTCGGCTAATGGGAGCAACAAAAAGAACTTTCAAGTTCTCAGCAATGTTATAAATTTAAGCCTTAGGTGCTCAAAGAAATTTAATGAAATCTCTAACCCAAGAATGAGAAGAAAAAAAAAAACAACTGAGCTAGACAGAACTCACTTAATGATGTGGTAGAACAGGGTGTAAACCCTACCTAAAGCCAGAAGGATGCCTTAAAGCAGGTTGAAAGGAAGCAAAAGTCATCACTACTGGTTGGCTGACTTTAGTAAGCCCCACTGTGACCTATTAGCTCGTTGTTGTCCTCTTCTGTACACACAGGGAAAAGGAGCAGGCAGACAGCTCACACAGACTGAAGGATGCAGACTTTGAAGCAGGTGTGCATTCATGCCATTCACAGGTGGACATTTCTGCACTGAAATAACAGAACTGACTTTTGGTGGATCCTATGTGATAGCCTTTCCCAGTCTAAGGAAAGCAGAGTCTATGTTACCTAAAATAAACAACCAAAGGAGATATTGGGTAAGATCATGTATCCATTAAAGAGAAAAGGTTATGACAAAATACTCCTTTATACCAAAAAAGAGATTAATTATACCATTAAAATGATTACCAAAATTCTATCCAATAATTTTCCAAAACATCTTCAGGCAGAAACAAGTTGACATGTCACAAAAAGGTGACTAAAGTTTTCTATCCACATCCCTCTCTCTCTGGTCTCTCCACTTCTCAGCAGACCCTCTGATATCCAAGATGTAAGTCCCATCTGAAGTCCTAAAGGCTTCTCTGCTCTTACAATACCAGGTGATCTAGAAGAACGGTGTATTCTAAAAACACATCAGGGCTGACATCAAAGCCTGACCAGTCGATTCCTAGTCTCAACCATCACCCTAGCTCCTACCTCAAGTTCTATGCACCAACTGGTACAGTCTTTTCATGTTCACTATTAGTTGGATATTGCATCTGTCCTAGTAATTGACAGTGAATGGGGCATCCTTCATTACTTATCCAGCGGTCTGT